TTCCACCTTGTCCAGCCCTGCCAGAGGCGCTGGGTGAACCATTCCTGGCTCTTGTCGGGAGGCATCGATCTGCGTGCGTCACTGTGGACCGCGCAGACAGCCGGAAAATGCGTTGCCCGACGAGGAACAGTTTCGCTGTTTTTGCACGGAGGAGCACACCAAATGTTGGAAGAAATGGTTTTGACTTTGAAAACACCACCCACTTCACGTGCCCGCAGCAGCTGCATTTAACTTTCAATTGCAGATGCCCAGTTGCTTCAGCACGCCGGTGTGGGCTGCTGATCTTGCCTTGGTATAGCACAGACCTTGCACAGGTGGCACTGTGGTGGTCAAAAAGTCCGGAGGGCGTGCGACTGACCAGGGACACGCATGTTGTTTTTGTTTTGGAACCCGTCCAGTCGGATTGGGTTGCCTGGGTATGATTTGTTTTGTTTTGGATTCTGTACGTATAGCTGACCATGACTAGGGACACTGTTTGGAAAGAACCAGCGGTTGGACTGGGTTGACTGGGTGTGACTTGCTTTTGTTTTGGGATCCGTACATGTAGCTGACCATGGTTTGAAGGCGCTAGCTAGCAAGCCAGAGGGCAACTGGTGACTTTGTACTACAACTTGAGTACGCGGAGCAATCTGTGCAGCTAGAAGCTGAGAACTGGCGACTTTGTAGTACAACTTTCGTACGCGGATGAGTCATCTCTCGCTGGTGAGTCATCTCTTGCTCCTGAGTCATCTCTCGCTGCTGAGTATCTGGGGAGCTGGAAAATGAGAACTGGCGACTTTGTAGTACAACTGTAAAGTACGCGGAGTATTTGGCAAGCTGGACAATGAAGACATGATTTTGACTTTGAAAACACCACCCACTTCGCGTGCCCGCACCAGCTGCACTTAACTTTCGCTTGCAGATGCCCAGTTGCTTCAGCACGCCGGTGTGGGCTGGTGATCTTGCTTTGGCATAGACACAACCCAGTGCGCTGATCCTGCAGAGAGCACAGACCTTGCACAGGTGGCGCTGTGTGTGTGTGTGTGTGTGTGTGTCAACAGTCCGGAGCGCATGTGTTTGGCTCAGTGAGTGACACGAGGGACACGCATGGTGGAGAGAACGTGGACACTCCTATAGGTCAATGTGTTCTTATAGGAAACTTCCGCCGCCGGCTTGCCCGGGAACTACTTGTACATTTTACTATGCCAACCAGAAATTCCCACTGCCAGTCCTTGTCCCTCAACCTCATCTGGGTTGTAATACCCAATAGGCTAGCCTGGCGCAGGGTTCAGTCTTCAGTCTCTCAAGACAAGGCCCGCTTTTTCATCCCACGCGTTCTGACCAATGAGAGACATCGCCGAATGTGCTCCCCCCGCCTGAGCCACTTCCGCCTGAGTGGCAAGCCAGCACTTTTCCAAGTTCAGTCCCCTTTCCCAAATCCAATCGGGTTTCTTTTTCCAAGTTCTTCCACGGTTTGACTCCAAATCTATGTCTCTATATATGTCCAATGGCCCTGGCACATGGCCTCTTCTATCCATTCCATTCCGTTCCACTGCCCAGTGGCCATGCACCATGCCCGCGTGAAGACCCCGAAGTCGCTGTCCACGGCCACCACTTGACAGAACTTGGGGTCCTCGGAACGGCTCGCAGGTGGGACCAATGGGTGGCTCGGCCCAATGCCAAGGCGGGAGAATGATCACCGCTCATGAAAAAGAAACTGAACAAGTGCCGAACTCTCTCTGTCTCTTTCTCTTTCTGCAGAGTCCAGCTGTCTCACAGCTGTCTGGCAGGGACACTCTGACAGATGGGTTGAAAGTCACGGAAAATAATACCCATCGTTCAGGGAACATGATATCCACCTGCGCTGCCAAGTTACAGCCGATCCGGTGCCCCGTTTTTCAAATCCTCACCTAGAGGTCCCAATCCTGAGAACCTGAGAGAGGTAGTTGGGGGTCACAACTTTTGGAGAAGTCGCAGGCTAAACTAAACAAGTTCAAATTCACTGACAAATTCACTGAAGCCAAGTGGTGGAAGATGGTGGAAGCCTTACCCCCCTGATGGAGACAAAAAGGATGGAGAAAAAAAAGAATATATGTCTCACTACCGTGTCACCCGCCACCCACTTGACAGAAGCTGAGACGCGCGTGCTGCCAGAAAGGCCATCATCTCGTCAAACTTGTTCATTTCCTCAGACCGCGAGCTGCGGACGACAGTGCGGCCCTGGTCTGCCCCAACCGACTGAGCTGCCCCTGAGCTGTTCCAGACCACGGGCTGCAACGAGCTGTTCCAGGCACGTATATAATCGGGTCAAAGAAAATAACTATATAATTGAGGTCTCCAAACAAAGGGTGACACGGTTTCGAATACATTTAAAATGGGGCTATATATAGAAGTTCCAAGTTGGGATGGACGACGCCGGGAGGTGTTTTACGGTCTTATTATTGGGTGCCCAGCTTCTTCACGCACTTGGAGGGATGAATGGGATGGATCTAATCAATGGGTGGAATTTCATTCCCAACGATCCAGCCAGTTCATGTGTCCCACGTGTACGTTTGAATCACTATGATCGCTGTGTCATGGTTTGTTGCCTCAGTTTGGTGGTCAGTATCTTCAACTGAGATACTAATGATGACAGTATCAACTGAGATGATCTGGGTGGTCAGTAGTGGTCAGCTTCTTCAACTCCTACCATAGCAACCTCTTCGCCCAACCCAGCATAGCAACCTCTCTCTCTCATCTGTGCAACCGGTCGTTGAGGGTGCGACCAGTCAGTTGAGTGCGTCGAGACTCGATGGACCGGTCGAGAACTGACCAGACTCCAAAGACTGGACCTATCAGGTGGCTCCATTGCGGGCCAAGCCTCACATTCATCACCATCATAGTACCTTAGCAGGTCTATGATGGATTGAACGCAGTTAGGACCAGTCCCTCCGGACCTCGGCTTCCTGCTAGGGCGCCCGGCTCAGACCAAGACCAGACCCGCTCGGACCGGCTCCACCTTTTTGCACAAGGCATCGGAATCTGGGTCTGAGCTGTCCGAAGACTTCTGTCCGTGCTGGCCCGTGCCCGAGAGTTCTGCCTGGACAGTGGCCCGTGCCTGGGAACCTACAGTATAGAACTACTGAAGGGGCTGAACAGAATCAAGAAGAATCATAGACGCGGGGCTTGGCAGTTGAGATTGGGAGTGCGGCCTGGAATGGCCAAAAAGGCCCCACTGGGCACCAGGTGTCCAGAAAGGACTCACACATTACCCGCAACACAGCTGTGCTCCTTGGCACACGGAGAGGTTTTCCGCGTCTTGCACAGGACGCCGAAGGACGAGGCAGGTGGCGTCACTGGTTGCGTCCTAAGTTGCTGTCTGACCCCTAGCTGCGCAAGGGAAGACCCCGGTCAAGCGAAAAAAACGAACCCATACGAAGCCTCTTTGGTTATCTTTTATGAAGTTCCATGGCAATGGGGGTAGGAATGGCTCATCCATGCCAGTTTGGGGATAACAATCTCAGTTGAGGCTTTTGGTATGTTTTGGTTTCGGTTGCTATGCAGCTTCAGTCGCCATCATGGATCAGTACAGAAAAACTTACTAAACATATTCCAGTATATAGCCCGAAAGGCAGTCGGATGACGAAGTTTCCTCACAGCCCGCAGGCAAGTTCAGGGGCACCAAACCCTGCCATACGCAAGCCCTTTGGATCCTTGAAAAATGGATGCTCTTGTACATCTGTCTCTTATGTGCGGCCACCACCCCTGCTGCGCCCGGCCGAGAATCATTTCCGCCGACGTGTGCGGGACACAGCTGCAGTGAAGATCAGCAACAGCTAACGGTCATTCAGTGTGGACAAAGGTATAAGTATAAGTTGGTGTATATCTCTCCGGAATGGCAAGGAATTACACAAAGCATAATCTTTGGCTTGGGGAGACATGGTCCCAAGGTGTCTTGAGCCTTCCAGGCAGCTGGAAACAGGCCAACTCCGCCAACTAGATTTAGTTTTATTGTCTGGCCTTGTTCAATTAGACGACCAGCATATACTCTACGATGCTATGTGATTGTATGCGATAGTGATATCATGCCTCAGCTGTGCCAATGAAGGGCGAAAACATTTGCATGGTATAATATGGGGTTGATTAAGCTAAGGCCAGCAGGAAAATTGCAACTGTTGCGTAACCAACATTTCTTCCACACTCTAACTATCTAAATGATATCTACTGTAATCATAAGTCCAAGCCTTCAACATGAGGGGGTCCTCTAATTGCTACTGATCAGGCTGTCTGATGCTGTCGCTTTGCGTTGGGAGAGCTCTTGGTTGATGGGTGGTTGCGCTGGGTGGTTTGGGGCTGTTTGGGGAGTTCTGCATCCACTGCAGCCGATCACACAGTAGCCGCGCTCGGCTGGCTCTCTGTGGCCTGTGCGGCAATGAAAGTGGTGGCCTATGCAATGGAACGATCACTAAACCATCAACCAAAGATCAACGACCGGTGACACCTGTACAATGGTTCCCTTGAACAAGGGGAATTTGCGCAAAACGGTCAGTAAACGATCAATCACATTCAACAACGTCCTGCCTGCTGCATCATGGCTGGGGGCGCCATCTCCTGGCGTGAGGGGAACGCTTTTCCATCATCAGTTGCACCATGTTAGAGGACGTGTGCTGAGAGGAAGGGAATTGGCAGAATGCAAAATCGCAGTCGCACAAAGCCGCCACTATAGGCACGTAAGACTGCACGGTAGATATCAACCCTGAAGTGTTTGTCGGGCGGTGTCTCCAGCAAAACAATGCCTTTCCCTTGGCTTCGACGATGTGCTGGGGAACGCATTGGGATGGAATACAAACACTAAACACATAGAAACATTGGGCTGTCATGTTTGGCGCTTTGCTTCCAACACCTATTTACATGGCACCGGCCACTGTTTAAAACCAGGTGTTCGCAAATTGGCTGGGAAGTTCCAGAAACTCCATGGTGCAAGCTTTGCCCAAACAAGTTATGCAAGTAATTCCATGGTGATGTTTGGCGGGTTGGACAGGTCAACAACCTTTCTGGGGAAGCCAAACAAGTTGAACTGGAGCCGCACAACAAGTGCCACTCCATGCCACTCGAATTTTAATCCAGGTCCAAGCTGCTTTCGATTGCCAAGTGAAGAACCTCCAAGAAAAAACATCATATATATAATATATGTATATATAATATACATGTAGAACCCATTTCTGGCTCCACCCTGCTGACATGGCCTCGATGGGCGTCTTCACCGTGACCACGTCGCTGCCCCGGGAGCCCGGTAGCATCGGAGCGCCCGTGTCCTTCGGCGACCGGACGGGCCACGTGGGCGGAAGCCTCTGGGCTGAGGATGCCATGTCTGAGGTCGCAAGTAGAAGCGCTGCCGAGATCGGCGCCGTCGATTTCCCCTCTCCTCAAAGGCTAATCTGTAGACATCATCGAAGTGGTCCACAAAGTGAGCGGTCAAACCTGGAACGGGATCCATTTCCGAGTGCCAAGCTGCTTAGCAACATGCAAAATGCTCATGTTGCAAAGCAAATTCTGGTGTTTTCAAGGTCACCGGGTCAGCACGACGAAATGAAACGCCTGCTAGCTGCCCTGCCTCATATGACTCATATGGTCTTGCTCTACGACTCTATTTGGTACTTTCATGTACTCCCGCCTTGCCAGCTGAGCCGCTTCATTGAACATCTTTCAGGACATAACCCTAGTTCGGGTTTGCAGAGTGCAAGCGAAAAGCACTCCACTGGTACCTCCTGGAGGTTGTGCTCTCTGCTTTCTCCGCATTTCGTGATGGGGGCCATATAAACCCACCTTCCCATCTACTTAGAAGGATAGAAATCACCGTAAATATCAATGTGAAGCCACCTGACCTAATTCCAAACACAACTTTCACGATGGAAACCCTGAAACCTCGCCCCACGCCTGCCCGCAAGTAGGGTTTCAGCTCCAAATAGTCGGCCTCCCACAAGGTGTCTGTAACACGAGTGACGAAGTCGACGTGCCCGGATGTGTCAAATGATCACGATTAGGATTCTCTGATTCCTCTAGGAGTTTCAATGCCTCTTCGCCTTTCTTGTCTCCCTGCTTCCAGTCGTAACAAGTCAGCTCAAGCAAGCTTCATTGACTTAAAATGCATCGGAAGCCCACAAAAGCTGACAGATTGTGCATGGGCATCCATTGCATGCAAAATCCATCAATCACAGCTCACAGCTGGCGGGAAACCCCACCAAGAATGTACCAAACTACAATCCCACCGTGCAGATCCTGCAGGGTGACCTACGGTCGCCTGATTGGACATGGGTAAAACCAAATTCTCCACATTCTCCCGCTTCGCAGCCAGGGTCTTCCTGGGCACCGGAGGGCAGTCACCGTTTTTGGACAGGCCTGGTTTGGGGACAAAAGCCTGGGAAGGACTCGGCATGAGACCAAGCTAAGACCGACTTCACCACAGTGCTGAAACATCGCTAAAGAAAGCAGAGGGCTTTCTTGTTGCAACGCCGAGCAGGGTGAATAAGCAGTCCTGATTCGTAGTCGCAGGAGGCGTTGGGTGGAACCAGCCTTCAAATACACCTCACACTTGTCTTACGGATTCCAACTGGCCGATGTGACTTGGTAGGGCCGGGGCTCTCCAAGGCTGTCTCCATCAAGTGCATTTTCGGTGTATATAGTGCATGGTTCCTTGCTCCTTCCAGATATGTCATGGGGAGATTCATTTTTTGGGGTGGGGGGGAAGGCAGCAACTGCGTATCAACGACGAGGGGGGGGGGGACGGTGGACATCATTTCTTTTCACTAAGGGTTTTTCTCCCCATGTGCGCACCTCACCTCCGCAAACACATGCAAACACCTCGTGGCCGTCGGACTCACCGCCGGACTCCGCGAAGTCTGCCGAAGTGCTCTTTGATGCCGCCCACTCGCAGCACCTTGCCCGTCAGGGTGACCTGCCACACCCGCGACGAGCGTCGACCGGGCACGGTCGATGGCCGCGCGGCTTTTTCTTTAAGCGTTCCTTTCAGGTTCCTCCCGTTCTACCATGATCCTACCCTCCCCCCCATCCTCCCCCTTCCCCATCCTCCGCTAGCTGTATCGATATCGATCTGTCATGATCGGTCTCATCTATTCAATCTATTCCGAGGTGACCTGAAGGGCCCCACGATGCCTTCAACCTCACCGGTTCGCCAGGTCTCGCCTCACCGCTCATCGCCAGGTCTCGCTTCACCGGGCGATCTAAGGCCATACTGAGCCTCAGCCACCCACCCAGACGGCGTGGCGAGTCCGGACGCTGCCGGCAGACTCACGCAGATCGCCCAACGCAGTGAAACCAACCCACCAAACGACCAGGTCTTCGGATCAACCTCGAACCTTGGACGGGTCGGGCTTCGGGGTAGAGGAGTTGCGCGAGCGGCCGCGATTGCGCAGTGTCGCTGTTGATGCGCGCCAAAGCGACAGGGCCGAGGTCATGGTCACCCCAGCAGATGGTCCATCCTGCGCGAACGACGAGGAGAGTTGGTCTCTCGTTTTGCCTCGTTTTGACCTATTTAAATCCATTAATTAGGTGCGTTTAGACATTGAGATATATTGAGATGATATTGGACATGGCATTAGAAAAGCAGTGGCAGCTGGTCAACCATCCTTGCAAGAACAAAAAGTTCCATGGGCAACTGGAAAAATACGTTTGTTCTCCAATCGTCCAACGCATACGTATCTTCTATAAACGAACAAAATGGTGACAAACAAATTGCGTTGATTGGTCATTATCGAAGAAACATATCCTCTTATTATTGTGACTGGTTCTATATCGTGCGAACCGCGCGCCCTCAAGATCGACAAGACGTCTGGAGAATTGAAGAACGGACAGAATCGCACAGTTGTTCCATCTTCAATCGCATGGACATTGAGCGCCAAATCCCAAAACGTATACTGCTAAATAGAAGGGATAATAAATAGGAAAACATGGTGATCATCACTTTTGCAAGGTTTGGCCACAAGGTCAACATAGCTGAACCTTTTAAAAACTGCGGGATATGGATATCTCACTGGGTGTCTCTTTTGATGGGTCCTATCGGTCCTATCGCTTGTGCAGGTGTTATATAGCCAAATTCCTGAAATTCACGACCGCTCTTTGCAAAATCAGGCATCACACTGTTCGGCGGTTGCTCATACGCCCCGAAAAGCATCCAGGTATCCAGTAGATTTCCCTCTCCCTCTCTATTCCACCTTTGTACCTCCATCCGTCCAATCCGGGGCCCGCTTCGGAAGCTCTCTCCTTTGGAGTGGCGCCCTCTGGCATATTCATGTGGATGAATGCCTGGAGCTCTCTTGGTCGCAGAATCACACGAACCCAACCACACTCTAACCACAGTGCAAAAAGCTTCCAACGTGGACATGCTCTGGAAGTGCTAGTGGCTGAAGCACACAATCTTGCAGTCGGTGTATGCCACTACGCCCCCACCTCCCCCTCGTCTTTGCCTTCCTCTCTGGGCTGATGCACGTCTTTCAGCTTGTCCCAAAACAAGGACAGGCTGAAAGGATGACACGTTTTTGGGAGGATTTGTCACTTTGAGATCTTTGGTGTTTCGTCCAGCCCAGGCACCGTATCTAGGAAGTCATTCTGGGGCGAGAGCTCCCGCAGGAAGATCTTGGCATAGGTGAGAGCGATTTCGCTCGACTCACCCATCACCTGGCACGGAGGGGCGTGGATTCGCCAGTGAGGCCACCCCCCTGATCACACCAGGCGCCAGGGTCACAGTGATCTCACCTGCTTACTGTGTGGCATTGAGGTTGGATTGTCCTGCTCCACGTGAATCGACGCCATTGACAGAAAGAATAACAGGAGTTACAACATGTTATTTTAGTCGAGCTCCCCCATCTCAGCCCACGCCCCAACACACCTCCCGGAGAGTCTCCTCCCCCGGCCGTCCACCACCCGTGCCTTGCCCAGCTTCCCTGTGACCTTCATCCGAGGGCCAGAGTTCCTTGGCCGTGAGGAAGAGGACGAGGGCCTCGGCCAAAACGACAGGTTTCAGTGCGGGTTGCGGTCGCTGATGAGTCGGAACCGCGTGGTTTCACGCGGTGTTTGCTTGGGGTGTGGGAGAACATGAACACGCGGCGTCTCAAGCTGCGGCAGCGTTGATTTAAAGTGTTCAGCCCGCTTCATTCCAAACCTCGATGTCCTCAGTAGTAGTGAACGCCCCCGTTTCGTTCCACCAAAACTCTGCAACTTCGCTTGAACGTTGGGGTACAATGAAGGTGTGTAAAAAGCGTCTCTCTTTGAATGTCCTGGTTGGTAAGGCGGAACGGGCAACCACCGCGACATGTAAATTCCGCCGGTGAAATCTGCATGAATCCGCCTGAATCTACAAACCGCAACTGCTTGTTCAGTCAAGTCGCGTGCTCGATGAACCTTCCGGCGGGGTCGTCGATGCGTCCACTGAGACGTCGGCATCGGCCATCCGTTCCTGAGCCGCTGGAACGAAAGGCCCGGCTCAATGGGAAGACTGAGGAGTAACGGCATGGTAGACTGAAGTGCAAGTAGCCCGAAGCAGACCTGCAGGCATGTTGATTCTCAGAGGATCCCCCATTAAGATCCGTTTAGAATCTACACTGCAAGAAGCTCAATGCGGTCATCCTTTTTGCAGTAATTGTCTAATCCCCTTTGGAGGAGCATGCAGAGTATCACGGAGTAGCATCTCAGAAGTCTCCGAACTTGCTTCCATCGATCTGGCCACTCTTCCCCAGTCAGGCCGATCTTCTCCTCTCTCTGCACGACGCGAGAAACCCCCTGGGCTGCCCGTGCGTTGCTCGCAGGCACTCGGCCCCGGGCCTCCACCACCAGGGTCTTGCCACCCAGAGCGGTCCAGGCGAGGCCCATGGCCACGCCACTGGGCACCGCATCCTGGAAGAGCCTGGCTCCACAAACACCAGCAGAAACGGATGTGAGGCACGTGAGATGCTAGAGATTCTCATTCTCATGCGTAGTGTGGCGCCCCAATCAACCCCAAAAGCCCTGGTCCTGCGAAAACGAGCCACCTGCGAGCCGCCTTCGGTGGGCACCAAGAAGAATAAAACAACGGACGAAGTGAATCTTTCGCTTCAAGGAGGGGGACAGTAGTTGCAACTGACCAGTGGGCTTTGGAGTACATGATAGTACATGTGTGACCGTTCGCCAACTGGCCTCGCTAGGTCACATGCTTCTGTTCTAGGGCTTCAGGTGAAAATGACCACGTCCTACCATAATTCTATCTGATTCCCCTCACAAAATGAATGATCGAGTGGATGGCTGAGCTGAGGTAGATCATCTTCAGTCCCAAGTCTTCAGGCTTGGCTACGAGCATCGTCCCGACTCAAAAAAAGGCGCTGGTGGCGCCTGTCCGTGGAATGGGGCGGCTGGCCTCAGTGCTCAAATCCATCAGGAGATCCCTTGCAAACCCAAGGCGCCAATGATCTTCAGCTATAAGAAGTGGCTGTCCGAAATCATCCCGTAGCCAAATTCAAATGAATACTCATACATTTAAAGCAAGATTGCATATCAACAATTACAAATGTATGTCCTGAATGAGCGAAATGGGTCGCAGCATTGTCAACAGGGCAGAGGGCGAATGGGTGACCCTTCCCAAGATTCAGCTATGTCTGCGGCTAGCGTTGTCTGGAACCCCTCAGGGAACTGAGCACTGGACCCACAAACTTCCGAAGATTCTCCAGTGAGATCATGGCCAGTTTCCTCTCCGCCGCCTCCGCGCGAACCATGCTCAAAGCAACTTTCCTTGGCTGAGCAGGTCATGAGCGCACGTTCCCACAAATCCTGCATGCCCAGTTAAGTTGAAGTTGGAGGGATTCAAGCCCTCAAAAGCTTGATAATTGAGGACGTCGAGAACAGTGAGAAGCTGTCGACACCACAGTAACTCACAGTGGGTTGCTGGTAGATCTCAGTGGGTTCTTCATCAAACTGTCCAAATTTCCCACTCCAACGCGAACAAAAACATAAATGTACTATTAACATGCTGAGTGTGCAATCCGACCCACCTGTGCTTCACCGACATGGTCTCCAACAAACCAGGTGCTCAATATTGCCTCAATCATTCGGAGTGAGTGCTTAAATCTTCCAAGTTGGCGCTGGCGCCTTTATTTTTGGATTAAATAATCTCTTGCCCAAACCAACGCCCTCCCTCCATCCCCAAACAACGCCCTTCCTCAATCAACAGCGCGGTCCCACACCCGGATGGGACACTGGATGGGTCCGGTCTGGAGATCTGGCACGATCGGAGCTCCCGCCCTGAAACAGATTGTCCGGGTCTCCGGGTGATCTTCTCCAGGAGCTTTCGGAGCTCCCGGACCCCCGCCTGACCGGAGCACCGGTCGATCCGGACGGGTGACGGAGTTCGTCGGACGGGTGGACGGATGCAATTCAGAAGGGGTTGGCAAAGCAAAAGACCACTTCTGGAGATACAATAAGAATATATAAGAATCGAATGTAATTGATCATCCAGAAGTAGTACGCTTCCCCAAGAAGCTCACTGCGAGGCACCCGAGCTTGAAAGTCAAGGAAGGTCAAGAAATGCCAAGGGGATCCAAGGGGTAAGCGGTAAGCTTGTATAGACTATATGGCCAAGTGCTATATGCTCTTGTACTCTCTCTTCCTGATTCTTCCTTGTCACCTTTGTCTTGGAAGTCGGTTCGTGGCAGGTGAGTCCCTTCTTGGTCGTCCCCGCACCTCTCGTGCGTAGTTCCGGATCAACTCCGCCAGCGCCTTTCAAACGCGCACACGCGCACGCGCGGCACGCCGAGTGCGAGGAACGTGCGCCGTACCGGGGCACACGGTACGAAATCCGAGCGAGGTGGCTGGAGGTGGTCCAAGCCCATGAACCAAATGGAACAAGAAGTTTTCAGGGGAGAAATGCCTGAGGCATCCTAAGGCCTTGCTGCTCTAATATGATCTATAATTAAATAATCGATTTCTAATGCTTTGTGACACGACTTAGCCTTTTGAGGGTTCTACACGTTTCGATGGGTCAGCCGTGACACGCCGACCGTGACGAAGCTGTTTGCTTCCACATGCTTCCCACTCATCTTTAATGAGCTGGGGGCACCCTACGGAAGAATGGAAACTGGAGCGCGCCAAAGCATGTGACGGACAGTGTTGAGAAGTGAAACACGATCAAATCATCACCCAACCTCGGGTTGAAGATCCAGCATGTCCTTTGCCACGCCGTTGCTCGCCTAGGCGACCAGTGCCACAGGCTGGGTTCTAGGTTCAATTTGAGAAACAAATGTCTCATGCGATGCAGGGGTGACTAAATCAGCCACTGCCAAGAATGCATCCTTGGCTTGATCGTATCCCAAATCATCTGGAGCTGGTTGCATCTGGGTCGCAATGGTCTGCGGAATAAGGTACCTGCAGCAGGCACGTGTTTTTCACGCACGTTCTTGGACCTACAATGCAAGCTGATGATGTCTACCTATCCAGGCTACCTCAACGCCTGCTCGGTCGAAAACACAGGTTGGGTAAAAAACAACAAAACATCCGCCCAGGTGCTGATTTGCTATTGCCAGCTTCTCTTCGTAGACATAGCCGGCAAGTCGAATAATTTCCATTCCTGGAGGAGGGCTCTACTGCTCTCGTGGGTTCTTCCCCCTTTGGGGCTTGTCCTTCACCTTGAGCACCTGGGAGCAAATCCTAACGAGTTCATCACCACCCTGCAACACCACCCGCTGTCATAGTGAGTCATGGCGGCAGCACGTCATAGCATTGAAGTTCGTGACTCGTTCATGTTGAAGTCTTGATCCGCTCATCGGCTCCCCGATGGCGAGCCAGTCAGGTGCGAGCCAGTCATGTTCGACACACCGACTTGGTATGGAAGTGTCGAACTCTGAACAAACACTTGAGCAACACCCTACTAGCGCAACTAGCGCAGAGGAAGATTGCCACCGATGATCACAGTTGTTGCACGATTCAGCACGTGCAAGAAATTCCTCAAGTCCCAGCCTCCAAATTTGGTAGAACATGCGGCAGTGTCGCAAATTCAATTATCAAGAGCCATCCTCTTGTTGTTTGAACATCTGTTTGTTTGGAATGCTCTCAGTGGAACGAGCATTTCCAGCCATCTTTGTCCAAGGCTCGATCAAGTAAGGGTCCTGGACACAACACCCAGCTGGGCACGGGAGAATCAAACTAAGACTGTACATATATGGTGCCAAAATGCTTCTCATGAATCCAATCTCAGGTAGTAATGATAATACAGCGTAATACAGTATATGTCAAAACAACTACCAAGTACTGTATGTTGCAGAATGTGCCACGATTCACCTCCAACTCGCAGATTTGGCTACTAACTGAGCTTTATGGAGTTATATCATGTTATATCATGGACCTTCATCTCTCCTGGGATGGTGTCAGTGACGTTGGCCGTGCAAATGAACAGGACCTTCGACAGGTCGAACGGCACATCCTTGGGAAACTTCAGGACGGGTCGACCCGGTCGGGAGCGGTGATCTTCTCATGGACCGGAGAGTCAGTGGTCAACTCGGAAGCTTCTGGATGCTGAAGGATGCAGCAATAGTCACTAGTACAAGCTTGGGAGAAACTGGCCACTTCCTATAGTGGCAGAGTAGATCAGTATCCTCTCGAATCTTTCGACCTGCACAGTTGCAAAACACAAGATGTCACTATGACATCACAATGATCTGGTGGCTGGCAATTGGCCATCCCCGCTCAACCCCAACAAAAAGTTCACCCGACAAGGTGGCCACTGCCACTTTTGAGCTGTCTTTTCCTTCCCACTCACCAGGTTTTCTAGAAAATCAAGCAAGCGCCATGCTCTCCTAGGAACCTCCCCCCGCTCTTCCCCAGCTTCATTCCTCAAAAGCCGACACATTTTTCCGGCGATTGACTCAGTGTGGAGGGCAACGGTGAAGTGGACACCCTCGTTCTTTCACGGGTAGCGGGTAGCGAGGCAGGCCGAGGCAGGCCCGTGTGCAAAAAAAGCAACACATACATGTTTCGTTTGCAGTTCTTCTTTCTTGGCCACCTTCGGTTCGTCTTACCGAAGACCCGGCAGAACATCGGAGCGTCCAAGTAGAGATCTCGGAAGTTCGCGTTCTGCTCGGGGTCCAGGACCTCCAGCAGGGCGGAAGAGGGATCTCCGCCTCGGTGGTATGGTTTCGAGGTGTAGATAGTCGTGGGCCGGCATGCACCGGTGTAGGGGACATCTGGGTGATCTGAAGCAGGGTTTCTAGTGATTTCATGGTCCACTCTTCATCACTCTTCTCAGGCATTAGCAAGCTGAAAAGTGAAGATCCTGCAAGGCTTGGGTTTAGGGTTTCTTTGAGGGATGCGGCAGCTCGAACTGGTGCCAGAACAGGATCCTGCAAGAACTGATAAGAACTGGCACTTCAGTCTCTGGGAGGCCCCACGGAAGTCACGGCCCAGCTTGTCCACTTCATCCACTAAGATGACCGGATTGGACACCTGCCTGGACACATCGAACGGTCTCGCGGGCGTCGCGTCTCAAGACGGTCGCGTGGCGTCTCTTCGGGTGGGGCGCATGGGCATGGCGCCAGCTTCGGCGGGCGAGGTCACTGCAACGGTGTGGCAAAAAAATGTTTCGCCTCCAATTCTCAAAGATCCGAAAAGGAATAACTGTACAGCTCACACATATTCTATGCGAGACAGCTGGCTGGGCAACTGACCTGGGTTCTTTGAGAAACACCCTCTGAAGGTGTAGTTCCTTGAGCGCAGAGCGCCCAAAGATCTGAAGATATGACATGACCATCCAAGGAGTCCCGGTTCTCCGACCCAAACAAGACGTATTTCTGACTGAGAGTGCTGAGAACAGGCTGCTCCTGAGACCAAATGTGCAAGTGGGGATCATCACAGAAGTGAGCTTTTGATGAACTACAATTAATAATCATTATACGATTATATATGCGCTTACTCAACATGATCTAACATGGTCCTATGAAAAATGTATATACTGTATATATATATGCGTATATTCTTTTTTCAGGACCCTTTCCCCCCTCCCCTGGTTACCCTCTCGAAGAAAACAGGGAGTTCCACGCATCGCCAATCGGCGCCTGATCTTCAGCGCCTGAATGATCTTGCCCGGCATCGCCCCGACATAGGTCCGCCGGTGCCCGCGGATCTCCGAGACGTCATGCAGGCCGCCCACGGAGAAGCGGAAGAACTGCCTGGCCATGGGCAGGGCGGGACCATGGCCGCCCAGGCCGGAGCTGGGAACTGGAAGACGTCATGACTCCGTTTGCGGCAAAAGATCATGTATCAGATGTAGGGAGAGACGGGGAAAAGAACATATTTATCTGTAATAGATAGATCCATCCAACCTATCGATATACCTATCAATGTCTGTCCGTCCGTCCGTCCGTCCGTCTGTCTATCTATCTATCTATATCTATCTATCTGATTTATAGACCTACCTACCTATATACTATATACCTACCAACCTACAGACCTACCTACACACCTACCCACCTACCCACCTACCCACCTACCTACCCGTCAATCCATCCATCTACAACTTTGGGTGGGAAGCTCTGCACCCCATGGCCTTGCCCTCCCCGCCTGTCGATGGCCCGCGCGATGGATTTCCCAATCGAGGTCTTTCCCACACCCGGCGGGCCCACCAGGCACATGATCTTCCCATGGACGGAGCCTGAAGAGAGGCAACGGTCAGGGCCCCAGAAAAAAGGTTGCCAAGCATACCAGAGATCTGAGATCCCTTTAGTAAGTACTTTAGTTAAGGGATGTTAAGGGAAAAACACACATGAAAAACCCGAGCACATCTATGGATCCGTGGATCGGTTGTCCCACATTGGAGGGTCCCACCAGTTGTCTCAAAGTGATTGGGTCCCACCTGTCCACTCATGTGATTGACCTTTGGGATTTGCCATTACCTCTCCTTTGATGCACTCGCTCGTCTGTCGTGAACACGGGGGATGTCGATGTGACCAGGCTGATCCAGGTGTTCAATCACCAATTGCACTAAAGGCATGGGATGCTCACCACAATCCTGGCAAGTCTGGAGACCATGGCGCTATTGGATACAAGCGGATCGTTGATGACGGTTGGACCGGCTGTAACACCATCATGAAGCACTCAGTAGTAAGTTGAAATGCTTGGCGGCGCTGCCCACGCGGCCATTGAGAACATGCATGATTCAAATCAAAATCCCATCTGTTCTCTGATGTTCTCTGGTGGGCACCTTAATTACTGGTCCTCCCCATCCCCATGTCCCGCTGGCTCTCCGATCATCTCCGCTGGCAGAGCCCAGCTCTGTCGTAACGAAACCTCGCCTTTCAGGAAGCTCACTGCCATATGTTCAAGAATCCGTTCCTTGACATCCTGCGCCGCGCGGAAACCGCCCAACCCGGGCGCGGCGAATTCCCCAGAACGAGCTGGCTCAGTGCTGCAACATGTGTCAAGAGAAGAAGCTTGGCACAGAGAAAGTTCAAATTCCTGGTGAAGACAAAGAGCTTGTCTGCGATGAAACTGAGCTGCACTGTACAACGAACAAGCTGTGGAAGTTGAAGGGTTGGGCAAACATCTCAGAAGAAACACCATCATTTGAGGCAGTTCGGCCAGTTCTGGTGGAATCATCCTCTCAGAAAGGGCCTCCTGATAGTTATGCATTGGCATCCACGTTCCCCCACCCCCGAGAGCATCTGTATAAGTACATCTAGACTCTAGACATTCGAGATTTCGTCTTCAAACCCATGTTGCACAGCCCCTGAGAAGTCGTCCTCCAAGCTGTAGTGATCCTAGCGGCTACCCAACGACCCCACCGCACTGCCCGGTCTCAAGCGCAACCACGGAAGGACACCATGGATTGACAAAAGGATTGCCCTGGTGGGGTGGAGGCTTTGGTTCCAGGTGGTCCGCGCATGGGAGTCTTTCAAGGATCGCTCGGAGTCGGTGAGTTCAACTCCAGACTGTCTCTTGTTAGGGTGTCTTACAGTATTGGGTTGCTTCGTACTTCACGGGTGAACCGAGCTTCACGATAGATGTGGAGAAAGGAATTGAACGGATCCCTTGGGCCTTCCAAAACTTGGAAGCTGAGCGACTGCCACAGGTCGTGTGCTCCTACGGTTTGGGGATCTTTGGCGGGCCTATGTGCCCCCCAAGGCCCATGATGATCGGCTCAAGAACTCCAAGGGGGACGAAGCCCCTTCCACCAAGGGAAACATAGAGAAACTGGTTAATTAGCATTAGTAACACAGTTGCACGCGACCAACTGGTGTGATCTTCATATCCAGTTGCATGCAAATTCATGGTTTAGCCAGATGCGTTGCAAGACTCATCGGTTTCTTGAACACCAAACTCCCAACACACCATTCACCGAGACCCCTTTCAAGATGCAAACCAAGTTGTCGCGAACTAGGTCGCGAAGTGCGGGGGAGCACCTCCAGAGCAAACACCTCATACCCTCATGCCCTAGATTCGCCATAGATGCCATCTGCTGAGTAGCAGAATGGTCCACCCCGCTCGTGCAACCCGACCGCCCCTGGTTCATGCACTTGACAAATGCTATCTAAAGAAAGAGTCAGGTTTGTGTTTGAAAATGATCGTGTCATGGGTGCCAATGATGCTCAAGCTCCAGGCGTTCTACACCAGAAGATTAGAAACCGAGCTCTCAAAGAACTCCTTTCTCCGGCACGCAGTCAGTCAAAGAAAACAATCGAATCACAAAGCACCGCGGTCTTCGCGATGTTGTGATGGGTGCTAATTAATCAACGAAAGTCCTACAAATATCTACAGCGACTTCGAAGCAAGTGGCACAAAACAGAAAGAAACAAGTGGCTGGCGGTGGAAGGTTGCCTCCTGGAGCCCCCCAACAAGGACAATCTTCCATAGGTAAAGGTGCCATCTACTCCGGCCGCCTACTTTTGACAAGACCCAAGGTACTCCACTGGGAGGGAGGCCGGTTGGTTTGGTGAACTGCGCAAGGAGTTGTTTCCTTGAAACGCCAGCTTGAAACATCAAGGACTGCTGCCTTGAGAACTGCAGTGGGCCCAGTTGCCGCTCTGATTTCAATAAGCTCTGCAATCAACAGTTCCATCATGACAGTAGGCTGGTCTTGTCTCACTTTACACCTGGGTGGGCATAGGCCACATCATATCGTCCACATATAGCAACGGTATCCACTACAAACTGCTAAATGCAGCTAATACCAAATTCGTGGATCGAATTCGGTGCCCGAAACTACGCTCTCCTTGCACTGGAAAAAGGCCTTGAGCCACTCAGTACCCATGCCGGTCGTACCTCACATCTCCAAGTTCTGAAGCCTCCCAAAAAAACCACCGACTGACCGGTTTCTCTGGGGGCTCGGCCATTCAAAACATGATCTCACTGGCTTCAAGCAGGATGAAGCAGGTATTTGATGGTAGTTGTAGCTGTTCGGGTGTCCATCGCCGAGGCTCTACTTGGATCCAATGGAATGCATCGAGCTCCCGTTGGCATCTCTGGTCCCACCAACCCTCGCAGCCATGAGGACCACATGGTCTCGCTCGGCAGGATCTCTCAGCAGGAACCTTCCTCCTTGTTCCATCCTTTTCAACGGGGAACTTCACACATCTTCATGGCTTGAAGTCAATGGGGGCGGCAGTGTGCAAAAGGATCGAAGAAAGGACGGTATGACAAACATCCGTGAACAAACAATCTCTATGTAACCATGTGTCTGCTATGTCTCTTTTTGTGAAACTGAATCACGGTGGAGTCAACTAGGCTAACGGTCCAATTTGACCTACGGAACGTGCAGTGGAGTTCATAACACGCCATCGCCCACTTGCAGAAAAGGGTCCGCCAGGCGCACTACCTTGGAAATGTTTTTGGACCGAAGAGCACCCCGCTGGCTCAATCAGGCCCTCTACTCATATTTCTGGTGCTGACTCTTACATAGCTGAATGATGCTGGTTTAGACTGGCCGCCTACACTTACAATTGAGACACCTTACCTGCAGAAAAATTATGGCAGATCTCGGGAATTGCGAGGATTGTGAGAACATGTGAGAACCATCTCCCCCCGTCTTCGGGCACATCAAACACAAGGCCATACGGCCAACATGCCCCCCCCTGCCCGACTGCTCCACCGGACAACCGCGCTGCCTGGGCCGTCAGTCGGACGGTTCTCCAGCCCTTGGAAGATGCCCCGCACATCAGGGTCATCGCCCACATAAGTCTTTCCAGGATGGCCGATGAAGACCTGGGGCAAGAGCCACTCGGTCGTGAGGCATGCAGCTCGAAAAGGTCAACACCAAACAGTTTGCAACATGTTTGTAAAGTGTTGGTGGCTCTTCCTCTACTGTACTTAACAGGGGGCGGTTCTCATGTGCAGGGCTCAAAAAAAGAAGATGCCGTTCTTGTTTTCCATGATCCAGATGTTTGCCCATTCAACGAGGAACATATGCCACATGCAGCAAATCAACCAAACTCACCCACCTGGGTGCAGAAAGCGCTAGATTGCCAACACTCCCCAACTGGCTTAGCCAAACACCTGAGGAATCCCCAATGAATCTGGCCACCCAGACACCGGCCCCATGTGTAAAGTGCTCTTGGTCAATTTGGGCGCGATCACAATGCTCCGATCATCGAACAGAGATGGGCCGGGTGCCTCTTTCACATTCCACAATCCGCTGGGGTTGATTTCCTTAGCCAAACAGCCACAACACTTGCGGTTACAGTTCCACATGGCTGCCCCAAAAAGGGACCGTGACGAATCATGACGAACCATCTACTCAAGTCATGTTGGCCTGTCCACAATGGAAGTCCGCCACGGTCGACGGGGTGTTACAGAAACTGTTCGGGCACACTTTCAAAGCGCCAGTTCTACATATATAGTTCTTAGTTCCACCTATATTGACCTATATCTGCTTTTTTCTGGATTGAAAAGGGGGAAAGCTGCCAGATCCGATTGCTTCAGTGTCTTGGGGTCCTCCAAAGCCTGGATAATGAGGCAGTGTGATGGCCGCACACTCGTGGCGACGCTCGCAGGGAAGCGTGCAGCTCTGCAGGAAGGCCGCGACTCCGGGTGGGTTCAGGTTCACTCCATCGCCGACCTGTGGGCGGGCTGAGATCAGGTGCACTGGCTTTGGCGTATCCACTTCGCAAAAGCCCCCACGTTGTTTGCACTCTTTTTTGCACGAGTATGTACGAGTGCAAGTATACGAGCGCCAATGAAGAAGAAGGTACACCTGTACACCGAAAGCCTATCCATCAAAGCGAATCCAAAGATCGAGCTTGTCAAACTCAAAACCTCAAACCCTGAAGGCTCGGGGCTTTGCGGTAAGGGATCGCAGTTGCCCCGCTCCGACCAAGAGGATCAAGCCCAGCCACGTGGAAGCTATCGTCTGAACCCATCGCCACTGCATAAATGCTGAGTTTGGAGTCCTTGTCCATGTGGGGAGCAATGATGATCTGAGCATCTTCTGGGTCTTCAGTGAGCTGTCTCACCTGAGAGCTGGCCGCCACTCAAGTTGCATCGGCACCACACAGAGGCTGGTTTGAAAAGAGAATGGTTGGATCGCACGCAACACGGACAACTCTCTGGTGCCTTGCGCTTGTCAGCACTGGAACCGGCACACGGTTCGGTTGGCGTGCAAGAGCTGCATGAACGTGCAAGGCGAGCGAAATGTTCGGACATTTCAGAGGAGGATGGCCATCTTCATGGGGTCTTCCCAAAACTTGGTCTGGTAAAGAGGGACCGTCAGAGGGACAAAGGAGTAGGGCAAGTACGACGGTGCAAATGTACACGTGACACACGTGATTATATTTTCGGAGACCCACCACCGATGGGTTTGGGTCTGTCTCCCTTCTTTTAGGGGGGGTCTTTGGGAGGTCTCCCTGTTTTATATAAAGATTTTCAATAAACCACCCCAAATGAAGACCCAATGGACAGACACAGTTGGCTCAAAGAAGCGCTCGGTCTGATTGCCGTCACGCGATTTCGAGGCTTGGAAGGGTCCGGCATCGACCCTGGAGGAACAATCCGCTCCCCCCCTCAGAACAACACACGCGATGCATCGTTCCTATTAAAAGATATGTCAACCGTGGATGATGCAGAGGATGACGAAAACGACGAAGACAATGATGGCATGGGGCCTTCGCCGGCTCGCATGCGAAACCGACATGTCATGCTGCTTGGGATTCGCATGGGCTCAGAAAATATAAACCAATTGATTCTACGCCCCAAGAGCCTCAATCACCTTGGTCTTTATCACTTTCACACGGAAGCTTTCCTTAGAAGAGTGGATGTTCAGTCGAGGGAAGCATCTGGGAGATGGTGAAACGGTCAGCAAGTCTAAATAAGAAGTTCAAGGAGCACCAACCTCTCTGGAGGCCCAACTTAAAGCACACCAGGATGATGATCTTACTTTTAGCTTTGCATTCTCCTGCACAATCACAGTGCCACTTGAAACAGTGCCACACCTTCAGGTTCACCACCACCTCCAGCACCCCCCGGCTTCACTCTGTTGCCCAAACCTGTGCAACAACGCCGCGCGAGCGCGCGCATTTGCACCAAATACACCAAGTTTCTGCTTCCCCTGGGTGAGGGATGAAGACCGTCTTTCGCGTGGAGGGCCCCGTGACGCGGAGGTTGAAGGCGGGCACTGACCAAGGACAGGCACAGCTGCGGCGGTAGCTGCAGCCCGTGGCATTGCACTCAACTCCGTTGGCACCATAGTGGCCATTCTCCTCACATATCTTGGCTTGGGGGGTTGCAGTTGATTTCAGACTGGCCGGAGTGTTTGGGGATTTCTTCCCGATGGCTTGCATAACCTTGGCGGTTGGCTTTACATTGGCGTCCGGATCTGCACGAAGCCAATGTGCCAAGGCACTGGCATCACACCAAAGTAGCCCAGACTCAATACCGAGAAGGGATTGGAGGTGGCCCCTGGGCAGCAAAAGGTGAAGCCTGGGCGCACCGTGTGGCACGGCCGGCAACTTTCCCACTCAGCTTGTCATAGTCATAGTCGTTGGCCATGCCCACACCCACCTACATTACAATCGCTCTACTAACTATATACACGCAGGGGGCCGGAGCCAGGTGGGGGGTCTCCGGCCAACGAAGACACCCCCCACCTGCAAACGTACCTGCGATCAACTGTTGTCCAAGCTGTTCTACTCTCTCTTTTTTGCTTTCATGGTGGTTTTTATGATACGTCCCCCAAACCAGGTTTCCATGCACGGCGTTAATTCGGTCTGCTAAGTAATCAGTAACTAATTGTCTGCAGTCATGCATCACGAGAAACACTTTTTTCAAACACCTTCAAGTGATCGGACGCTTCACCTTGCCGTTGAGCCATTCCTTTTCTCGGGGAACTGAGTTAACTGAAAACCCAATGTCCAAGTGTGTGCCGCTCTGCCGTCCCACTTGGGTGCAGGGTGTGATCCCCGTCACTGGGGCGCTGTTTTCATGCCGGAGTATCACTATATAACGGATTTTGCTGCTTTCCGCACACGTTGGATTATCTTAACCGACTTCCTTTCACCACTGTATTCCCAAAATCCAAGCCGCCGGGCACCACGGTTTTTACGACCGCCGGGTATACGGAAAGTCAAAGCCGCCGGGCATACGGAAAATCCCCCCCCACCCCCCCCCCCCCGGGTTCTCTACGCCCCACCTAATTAGGGTAACAGAGGGAAATCCCTGTTCTTGCACCTAATTAGTTTCTGCCAAGTAATCGGTAACTCTAGAGTGCTAAGTATTCAGACACACACACATGGACATACACCCCCTCCCTGCCCCCCGCTTTCTTCTCTTGCGTTTTTCGTCGTTTCTTGGGCTTTCTTTCAGGCTTTTTAGGTGGTTCTTGAGGCTTGTTTCCCTGCCCCAGTCAAGGGCTAAGTATTCACCTTTTGCTACACCTATCTTTCTCTCCTGCCCTTTTAGCGCTGCTCTTTCTGCTTTTCTTTCTTTCTTTTCTAAGGCTTTTTAGGTGCCTATTTAGGTTTTTGCGCTAGAGCGCCGCAAAGCGGCTGAGTGTGTGTGTGTGTGCCACACTCTGTTTCCAAGAGTTTTTACATGCAGGGGGCCGGAGCCAGGTGGGGGGTCTCCGGCCAACGAAGACACCCCCAACCTGCAAACGTACCTGCGATCAACTGTTGTCCAAGCTGTTCTACTCTCTCTTTTTTGCTTTCATGGTGGTTTTCATGATACGTCGTCCCCCAAACCAGGTTTCCATGCACGGCGTTTTTAATTCGGTCTGCTAAGTAATCAGTAACTAATTTTCTGCAGTTGTGCATCACGAGAAATACTTTTTTCAAAAACCTTCAAGTGATCGGACGCTTCACCTTGCCGTTGAGCCATTCCTTTTCTCGGGGAACTGAGTTAGCGTCTCAACACGCACCGTGTTTTGCTGGGACCTCTTTACAATTCCATCTCCCAACCGCCACTGCAATTCCTGACAAAAAGGATCCAAGAGGCTTCGTCCAGAGAGTGACATACGCCCGACGAACTCTTCACCCGCACAGTCCGCGTCCATGGCGCACATGGCCGCCTCATCTTTGCGGGCCACATCATTCCATGCCGCTCGACCATCCAAGGCATTGCTGGGGCACGTGCGGATGTTGAAGCCGCCTGCGGAGCAGCGAAGAGGGTACACACATCGGGGGGGTCATAGGATTTCAGTATTCATGACATTCATGGGCTTGAAGTGTGTCAACGTAGCGATTGGTCATGAGTCGAGCACTCTTTCCAGTGCTTGACTCGCTTCAAGTGCACTTCTTTCGCACTTCACAACAGGAGCCTGGCTGGCCTGCACTTCAAGCTTCCCCCTCAAAGCCTGTGACTCCCCCACCAATAGGTTCTCATCTTCATGCACCCTGCATCCTCAGGAGATACTCACAGGTTCCCGCCCCTTCCGCGCGTAAGCGCGTCCGCCTGGGATCAGGAAAGGGGAGTATGAGCCCTCTGGCTTAGCAGGATCAGCACCCTGGGTACAGCCCACAAAAATACAGCCAGGAGGAAGCCAGCTGCTGTCTGTCAGCGCATTGTAGCCTGCACAGACTCAGGATACAAGTAAGGCAGCTCCACGTGGTTTTACAAACCAAATTCCGACAGAATAGTTATGCCATGAAAGGATGTGACTGGTGCCTATACAAACATATATATACAGTATCAAGATATGCTCACACATACTCACACTAATGATGAGGCCCTTGAGATTGGCATGCTGAGATGTGTTCCTAAAGTCGAACTCAGCATCAAAAAGCTTTGGGATGGAAGGGGGGTCAGACTTACAAAGAAGTCCGAACTAGAAAGCTGGCTTGAATTTCGTGCTAGCGCGAAGCCAAAACCGCTCACGCAACCAGGGCATGACATGGTGCCACAGCTGCAGGGGGCGTCCGTGGACGTCACACCACACAAACCAGTGCAACCCTTTCCATCGCCCAGGAGGTGCGTGTCCTCCGGCTCTGCAGGACATTGCACCTGCATGCCCTGGCTCTGGTGCTTGAATTGGTCGTAACAAGCTTGGGATGGGTCAGAGTAGAGAGGCTTGGGCGCCGAGCAATGATCACCAGCCCATGGATATTCCACCAAGTGCTTCACGTCCCAGGGCAAGTGAACACCAGGATTGCCCATGTAGGTCTCGCCCAGGTCTGCTCGGTGGTTGTCCTGCAAGTCCGGGTGGATGCTCAAGACCATCTTCCTCAGGCTGGGGCAAGAGAGGGAAAACCCGTGGATAGAACAGGATAGAACCTTAATCAAAAGAGCTTTGATCTGGCACCGACACATCTTAATACACAAATGTACCTGTACCATCCTGCACCTCATCAACGTGATACCGAAGCAGATGCCTCTCTCATGCGGAAAGGCTCTGTGAAACATGTTGAAGCGCATGTTTGCATTGTTTCCACTAAAAAAGAGCACCCCCGGAAGAACACAATCTCCACAATCCTGTTGAAAGCCTGTGCCTGTGCCTGTGCGTGACAAAACCTCATTTGTATTTATGGTGCGCACACCATCCTTCAGCTTCGCCAACATATTTTCCCAATCAAATGTCCCGTGCGAGGTGCCTGAACCTCGGTCTCACAACTATGGCCCTGGCAGGCCCTGGTATGTCTGGCTCGTTGGGCCCGAAACAGCTTCACCACTGTGTCTCATCCCAAGACTCCTCTCGCTGATCACTGGTTGGAGCCTCACCCAGGCAGGGTCTAGATCACAACGCCTCAAGACCAGGTGGTCCCCAGCGTCGGCCAAGCACCTGACCGGCTTCGGCAGAGTCGAACACCGGATAGGCGGAGCACGGGGTTGGGCGCTGAAGACCGCGGGTGCCAAAGAGAGGATTCTAAGGAGTTTGGGTGTGAGAGGTTCTTGAAGTGAATTTGGAAATTCCAAGGTGCATAAACCAACAAAGAAAAGTTGCTTACGTACCAACAAAAATGGCCGGCAGTTTACAGAGTTTGGGGGCTCTGACGCTGTCAAAGGTGAATTGCATGGCATGGCTTTTTGATGCTCTGGTGCTGTCGACAGTCCTTCTATGCGAGGTCTGGGAGGTGCAGAAATCATCCCGAAGCAAAAATAAAAGGACCGGATAACCCCACATGATAAGTTTTACAAATTTCAAATGTATATGAACATCACACGGGAGACGGAGTAGTGAGATGAAAAGTCAAGAACGAAGTGTGAGGAGAGAAGGTATATGATGCGGTTGTGCTAAGACTGATGGACGAGGATGAGAATGGGGAGGGAGGAGGTGTGTGTGTGGTAAGATGGCGTGCGTAGTGAGTGGGTGAGTGAGTGAGTGAGTGGAGTGAGTGGAGTGAGTGGAGTGAGTGGAGTGAGTGAGTGGAGTGAGTGAGTGGAGTGAGTGAGTGAGTGAGTGGAGTGAGTGAGTAGAGTGAGTGAGTGAGTGGAGTGGAGTGGAGTGGAGTGGAGTGGAGTGGAGTGGAGTGGAGTGGAGTGGAGTGGAGTGGAGTGGAGTGGAGTGAGTGAGAGTGGGTGAGTGAGAGTGAGTGAGTGAGAGTGAGTGAGTGAGTGGGTGGGTGGGTGGGTGAGTG